GACTGAGAGTCGAAGATCAAAATGAATTTTTTATGAGAGAGCCACAAAATTTGATTAACACAAGCCTATCCGATGTTATCCTGACGCCAAATGACTTCGAACAGGCGATAAATGACATGCCCATGCACTCTGCCCCAGGGCCAGACTCATAGAACTCTGTGTTCATCAAGAACTGCAAGAAGCCCCTATCACTAGCCTTTTCCATCCTATGGAGAGGGAGCATGGACACGGGGGTCGTCCCACAGTTACTAAAAACAACAGACATAGCCCCACTCCACAAAGGGGGCAGTAAAGCAACAGCAAAGAACTACAGACCAATAGCACTAACATCCCATATCATAAAAAATCTTTGAAAGGGTCCTAAGAAGCAAAATCACCACCCATCTAGAAACCCATCAGTTACACAACCCAGGGCAACATGGGTTTAGAACTGGTCGCTCCTGTCTGTCTCAACTATTGGATCACTACGACAAGGTCCTAAATGCACTAGAAGACAAAAAGAATGCAGATGTAATATATACAGACTTTGCAAAAGCCTTCGACAAGTGTGACCATGGCGTAATAGCGCACAAAATGCGTGCTAAAGGAATAACAGGAAAAGTCGGTCGATTGATCTATAAATTCCTCACTAACAGAACACAGAGAGTAGTCGTCAACAGAGTAAAGTCCGAGGCAGCTACGGTGAAAAGCTCTGTTCCACAAGGCACAGTACTCGCTCCCATCTTGTTCCTCATCCTCATATCCGACATAGACAAGGATGTCAGCCACAGCACCCTGTCTTCCTTTGCAGATGACACCCGAATCTGCATGACAGTGTCTTCCATTGCAGACACTGCAAGGCTCCAGGCGGACATCAACCAAATCTTTCAGTGGGCTGCAGAAAGCAATATGAAGTTCAACGATGAGAAATTTCAATTACTCAGATATGGTAAACATGAGTAAATTAAATCTTCATCAGAGTACAAAACAAATTCTGGCCACAAAATAGAGCGAAACACCAACGTCAAAGACCTGGGAGTGATTATGTCGGAGGATCGCACCTTCAAGGACCATAACATTGTATCAATCGCATCTGCTAGAAAAATGACAGGATGGATAATGAGAACCTTCAAAACTAGGGAGGCCAAGCCCATGATGACACTCTTCAGGTCACTTGTTCTATCTAGGCTGGAATATTGCTGCACACTAACAGCACCTTTCAAGGCAGGTGAAATTACCGACCTAGAAAATGTACAGAGAACTTTCACGGCGCGCATAACGGAGATAAAACACCTCAATTACTGGGAGCGCTTGAGGTTCCTAAACCTGTATTCCCTGGAACGCAGGAGGGAGAGATACATGATTATATACACCTGGAAAATCCTAGAGGGACTAGTATCGAACTTGCACACCACGAAAATCACTCACTACGAAAGCTAAAGACTTGGCAGACGATGCACCATCCCCCCAATGAAAAGCAGGGGTGTCACTAGCACGTTAAGAGACCATACAATAAGTGTCAGGGGCCCGAGACTGTTCAACTGCCTCCCAGCACACATAAGGGGGATTACCAACAGACCCCTGGCAGTCTTCAAGCTGGCACTGGACAAGCACCTAAAGTCAGTTCTTGATCAGCCGGGCTGTGGCTCGTACGTTGGTTTGCGTGCAGCCAGCAGCAACAGCCTGGTTGATCAGGCTCTGATCCCCCAGGAGGCCTGGTCACAGACCGGGCCGCGGAGGCGTTGACCCCCGGAACTCTCTCCAGGTAAACTCCAGGTAAACATGTAGACGAACTACCTGAAGAAGAAGACGTACCTGAAGGAAATCTACTCGAAGTAGAGGCCACAGTGAACTGAGAAGAAACAATGAGCTGAGAGGATACAGTGAGATGAGAGGCCACAGTGAGCTGAGAGTACACAGTGAGCTGAGAGGTCACAATGAGCTGAGAGGCTACAGTGAGCTGAGAGGATATAGTGAGCTGAGAAGCCACAACGAGCCGAGAGGCCCTAATTAGCTTTAAGTCCACACATTGGCGAGAGGCCCAAACATTCTAAGAGGAGCAGCCTTGCTGAGAAGCTTCACTTTGCTGACAGTGGAGAGGGAACTCCTGGAGGAGAGAAGCAACTTAGTGGAGAGGACCTGCCTGATGGAGAGGATCTACCTGACAGAGAGGACCTGCCTGATGGAGAGGATCTACCTGGTGGAGAGGACCTGTCTGATGGAGAGAATCTACCCAGTGGAGGGGAACTACCTGATGGAGAGGATCTACCTGGTGGAGGAGACCTACTTGATGGAGAGGATCTACCTGGTGTGGAGAGAACCTGCCTGATGTAGAGGATCTACCTGGTGGAAAGGACCTGCCTGACAGAGAGGATCTATGTGGCATGCAAAGACTGTGTTACACTTTATTCAGAGCATGTACACACTCCCAGGTGCTAAGGGTTTAACGGTAAGGGTACCCATCGTTAAATCAGTACCTTCGTTCGTTAACCAATCACAGGCGGGCCTGCCAAGGGCTGAGGCAATGTGGTTTCACTCGCAGTCAGCCCTTGCCAGACTTGCTTCTAGCTGGCTGAAGAACGGTGCTCTCTCTGGGTTCTGTTGTGGTCTTTAAACACCGTGTGGTACACTTATATTTCAACTCCATGTACATAGTGTACATAGCTGAATCTTACTGGTGAAGGAAAGTACAAGTTAAAGACTAATGCTGTATTTATTTTCGCTCCAAGATCGATTACGACCAGGTCAACATGCCATTATTACCTGTGTTTGTAATATGAGGGCCTGTCCGGGATCTAGAGCTGGAGCTGGTCTTAGGGCCATTCAGAAAGCCTTGCTATCGCTCGGCATTGCTTGTCAGCCTTGCTATCACTCGGCATTGCTTGTCAGCCTTGCTATCGCTCAGCATTGTTTGTCGGCATTGCTGTCACTTTCGTTATTGCACGTCAGCCTTGCTATTGTGTGTGCATATCCCACATTCACTGCTGCTTGTTGCCTATAATGCAAACAGCATGTTGGGTTGGGGTTAATGCCACCGACATGAGTCAAGTGATTTGTGTCTGAATACACACTACTAAATCTGTCCAAACTATCTCTACATCATTGCTGGCAAATTGCTAGTTCTATTGGTATTATCAATGGACTATCACTGCTGCGGAGCTTTGTCTTTGTAGTATAATTCGTACAAAGTTGAGAGCTGAAGCAACTATGGTGCACCAAACTGAGATATCTCCCGGTACAGATGTTAATCGCAGATCTCCGTTTAGGTTCCTCCGTAATGTGGAAGGGACAACACCAAAGCAACCAGACCAGCAGTCTCGTGAAGCAGGTGAAGCAGTTGTACACCTGTTAACTCTTTCAGGGCCTAGTTTCTAGGTCTTTTGTGTATCCGTATGCTCTTGCGCTACCGTCCACAGGATGGATATGGGGTGCACAATAAAGTAGCCACTTCGGTGGCAAAATTCTAAAAATCTCTGTGCTCTCTTTCTATATCTGATCTTCTAGGATTCCTTGATGGTACATATTTAACACAGAATTTGTGTTAAGCTTCTCCAGGCACTGGTGAGGATTTAGGGTGCTTATAAATGTTTTCCAAGATGTCTGATAGTTATTGTTTAAGTTTATCGCAGTCAGTTCTATAGTTGTTACTGAACATCCCTTCTTTGTACTTTATTGCTGGAATACCCCAACCTGAGGTTTATACTCGTTTGTACTTCTGTGATATTGTGGTCAGAGTATAGTTAGATTGTTTTTGTGATTGTTATGTCTCTGATAAGTTCCTTGTTGTTTGTGAATCAGATCCAATGGGATGAGTTATCTGTTGGTTCAGTGCTAACTTTTCACAAAGCCTCATTACTTCCCTGATATAAACCTGTTAAACCAGGAACTATTTCTGGTATTGCTGTGATGAACCATCTTTCATTTCACATATTTGCTGTCGGATTTTTCAGCCTTTCAAGACAACTATCTATCGTCCTTATCTAATCTTTAAATTCCTCAGCTTTTGCTGACGGTACTAGGATAATTACCACGTTCCTATTTTCTACTTTAATTCCTAGAACTTTTGCTGAATAATTTGATGAATTCTGTGTAACAAAAATAATCTTTTCAGAGTCTTACTCCTCCCTGTGATTTATTAACTATGTAGCATCTATACATATTACAGTTTTTTAATCACTATTTTACCGTCCAAAACATCCCTTGCAAGTATTTTTGCAAATGCTCCAAACATGGGATTCGCCTCTGAGAGGAGCCCACTAATATAAATATCTTTGTCATTTTTATTTGCTTTCAAACTCTAAACGTTTGCAAAAAAGGATCTACCATTTGAGATGTTTTGGTAATGTACAACCTCTATCGCCCCTTGTGTACACACCCCAGTAATGATTCTGCATTTGTCATTTGCTCATTAGACCCAGTTGAGTGTATAACTGACTTGGTTTGTCCCACTACTGTGAGAGGATCTACCTAGTGGAGAGGCACTATATAGTAGAGAGCATGTACCTGGTAGATAGGACCTATTCGGTGGACAGGATCTACTTGGTGGACCGAACCTACTATTGGATAGAGCCTACCTGGTGGACAGAACCAACCTGCTGAATAGAACCTACCTGGTGGATACAGCCTACCTGGTGGATAGAGCCTACCTGGTGGATAGGACCTACCTGGTGGATAGAACCTGCCTGGTAGATAGAATCTACCTGGTGGATAGAATCTACCTGTGGATAGAACTTACCTGGTGAATAAAACCTACCTGGTGGATAGAATATACCTGGTGGACAGAATCTCCCAGGTGGACAGAATCTGCCTGGTAGATGGAATCTACTTGGCGGAGAGAACCTACCTGGTGGATAGGACCTATCCGGTGGAGAGGGCGAACTTGGCGGAGAGGACCTACCTGGTGGATAGGACGTACCTGGTGGAGAGGATCTGCCTGATGGGGAGAACCTTCTTGATGGAGAATACGTATCTAAGAATGAAGCTACCTGATGTGGAGAATTTACCTGAGTGACAGAACCTACCTGATGATAGTGTAGATGCATCTCATGTTGGTGTAGTATGGACCAGGATAGCCTGGGCTCTGGATAGTGAATTTCGTGCTGTTGAAATCCTGACGACAGGACGCGTCTTCTTCACGGCCATCGTGCATTTGTATCACTTTAGGGTCCCGCTGCCTAAAGGTGGGCTTAATCCTCTCGACGTCAGGGTTTGTTGTTGCCCTGGTGTTGCTAATATTAAACGCCTGAGGTAAGAGGATTTCAGGTGCTGGCTTAAGGATAGGCCGTGAAAAGAAAACAGGAGTGACTGTAGGCTGAGTAGGAGAAGAGGTTGTCGATGAGGTAGAGACGGTAGATGGGATGGTCGGAAAAGGTGTGGTGATTGGGTAGGGAGTAGTTGGGAAAAAGGGAATGAAGGGATTATGGGTGGTGTAATCAGGAATGGGAGGCAAATATCCGGGACTAAATGTAGTGTAGGTTGTACTTGGGGAAATATAACCTATGCTTATATCGTAACTTGCAGCTGGTGTCCCATAGCTTGTGGCTGGGGCCCCATAACTTGTAGCTGGGGCCCCATAACTTATGACTGGGGCCCCATAACTTGTGGCTGGGGCCCCATAACTTGTGGCTGGTGCCCCATAACTTGTGGCTGGGGCCCTGTAGTTTGTAACTGGTGCCCCATAACTTGTGGCTGGGGCCCTGTAGTTTGTAACTGGTGCCCCATAACTTGTCGTTGGGTCCTTGTAACTTGCTGCTGGAGTTCTACCACTTGGAACTGAAGTACCATAACTTGGAGCGTTATTGGAGCTGAGGGGAAGACTTGTGTAATGACCTGAGTAACGACGACGGGAGAAAGGATTGAACTTCGAAAATGGATTCAGTTTTGGTTTCAAAATCGGTCTAGTAGGCCTGAAAAATCCTGGTCTGCGGCTGTTGTAATTATAACGGTGGTGGTGATAGTGCGGCCTGTAAGTGGGATACCTTGGGTAGATTGGATAAGTGGGCCTGAAGTGTCCGCAGGTGACCTGAGTGACCTCAATGCTGAACCCACGACTTGAACCCGATGCGTTGGAGTGAAAGTAGAGATCCAGGAGTGGAGTGGTGAAGTGGTACTTGCCTGTGAATAAAAGAATGAAACTGACAGTCAACGTAACGTCATTCTCGGAAGTACTTTAATATTCAGCTGAAATTATTACATAATATTGAACACAAAGATTTCAGTATCTCACTGCAGGCAAGAAATACATTAGAGAATGTTGTATATTATAGCCCATCCATATTGGAGCTTTAAGCGTTTTGGGAGACTAACCCCATAAATTATTATGAGGCTACCAGCTCTCTAATTATTCATGTCGATACCAACGCTTTAAAAGTTTATTTAGTTACCAATGTTTTAAGTGTTCACGACTATACTAATACTTTACTAATCCTTTAAACACTTATAGGGATACCAGAGGTACCAGAGGTACTATGATATGACTAGCGCTGCAAGTTGTCAGGCAGATATTTATTTTCATTGACACTGTCGATTTATAACAGGTAAATATTTATAAATATAGATTATTCAAATGTAGATTATTCAAATGTAGATTATTCAAATATAGATTATTCTAATACAGATTATTCATATGTGTCCTAACCATACAAAACCTATCCAATCCTATCCTAGTATAATGTAACCTAATGTAAAACAGTCCGACCCGTCCCAGTCTAACAAAATCCATATAAACCTAACCTAAATTAACGTAATCCAGTCCAACACAAACTGACTTAACCTGACCCAAATTTAAGCAGCCTGACCCAGCCTAACCCAACGCAATCCATCCCAGCCTAGCCTAACCCATACTAACCTAACCCAAACAAATTGATACAACACAAACCCAACCAGAAGAAAAAAACAGCCGTACTAAATTTAAGCTGGCAGAAAAAAACTATTGTTAAATTTCTTATAAATTTCAACTTACTAACTGAAGGAAAAGTTACAACATTACAGTGGACCCTCGACTAACGCTATTAATCCGTTCCTGAGAGCTCATCGTTAGTCAGAATAATCGTTAGTCAAGTTAATTTTCCCCATAAGAAATAATGGAAATCAAATTAATCCGTGCAAGACACCCAAAAGAATTGAAAAAAAAATTTAACACATGAAATATTAATTTTAATACACACAAACTGAAGAAGACATGCACAGTTACATGACACTTATCTTTATTGAAGATCTGGTGATGATTGATGGGATGGGAAGAGGGGAGTGTGTTGATGGTCTTAGTGTTTAGAAGGGGAATCCCCTTCCATTAGGACTTGAGGTGGCAAGTCCTTTTTCGGGGTTACTTCCCTTCTTCTTTTAATGCCACTAGGACCAGCTTGAGAGTCACTGGACCTCTGTCGCACAACATATCTGCTCATAGAGGCCTGTACCTCTCGTTCTTTTATGACATTCCTAAAGTGTTTCACAACATTGTCAATGTCACCATTAAACACTTGTTCAGGTTTCAGTCCTTCACTGTCTATGTACTCCTTGAATTCCTGCACATATTTTTCAGCTGCTTTTTGGTCCAAACTGGCAGCCTCACCATGCCTTATCACACTATGTATGCCACTACGATTCTTAAATCTCTCAAACCAACCTTTGCTGGCCTTAAATTCACTCACATCACCACTAGTTGCTGGCATTTTTCTAATTAAATCGTCATGCAACTTCCTAGCCTTTTCACATATGATCGCTTGAGAGATGCTATCTCCTGCTATCTGTTTTTCGTTTATCCATACCAATAACAGTCTCTCAACATCTTCTATCACTTGCGATCTCAGTTTCGAAAACATAGTTGCACCTTTGGCAAGAACAGCTTCCTTGATTGCCGTTTTCTTGGCCACAATAGTAGCGATGGCTGATTGGGGTTTTGTGTACAGCCTGGCCAGCTCGGAGACATGCACTCCACTTTCATACTTAGCAATGATCTCTTTCTTCATATCCATAGTAATTCTCACCCTTTTTGCTGTAAGGTTGGCACTAGAAGCTTTCTTGGAGCCCATGGTGACTTATTTTGCAGGTGCAATCACTAAAAAGGCTGTGACAATATGAAATGTTCCGATTGTATGCTTGGAAACGACTGCGGTGGCTGGCTGGCTTGTAAACACTGGCCAGAAGTGGACGCATCTCAGATGGAACGAATAGTGTTGGTCGAGTTTTTTTAGCGCAAATCGAGGCAAAATTTTTGCGATAAAATGTATCGCTAGTCAGATTTATCGTTAATCGATGCCATCGCTGGTCGAGGGTCCACTGTATATATATATATATATATATAGTATATATATATATATATATATATGTCTGTAATTATTAATAATAATTATAGACCTACAGCGATCATGACACTAGTATGTATAGTAGACTGTCGATTAAGTCTGTAGTTAAGCTCCTGAAAATGCAGTGTTAGATGAATCCATGTTAAAGGAACTGAAGGACTTATAGGAAAAATAGGGTTACGTTCCTAAAACCCCCAAAAAAGCCTAACAACTACTTTTTTTTTTGGGGGGGGGTCTCCAAATCTTACAAAAATAAAAATAATAATTCAGTTGTTATTCATTAATGTTACAATGTATGTTTTTTCTGTTGCTTAAAGCTAAAAATGCTACAAATATTTCTTACAGTAAATTGTAGTTGCTGGTTTTTGTGGATGATTGTGAAGGAATGGAGAGGCATGCTGAGGCCCATCTGGGCTGAGGTGAATGGTAGTCCTCTCAGTAAGTCAGTCCAGTCAAGTGAGTCAGTAGGTCAATCACTCAAGTCAGTACAGTCATTCAATTCAGTAGGTTACTCATTCAAGTCAGTAAGTCAGGTCATTCAGTAAATCAGTAAGTCAGGTCATTCAGTAAATCAGTTAAGTCAGTCAGTCAAATTAGTAGGCCATCAGGCAGTAAATCAGTCAGTCAGGTAATAAGCAGTCATTATATCAATCAAGTCATTCAGTAAATCATTAAGTCAATCAGTAAAGTCATTTAGTAAATCAGTAGGTCAATCAGTCAAGTTGGTCAGTCAAGTCAGTAAATCAGTCAAGTCATTTAGTAAATCAGTAAGTCAATCAGTCAAGTTGGTCAGTCAAGTCAGTAAATCAGTCAAGTCAGTAGGTCAGTCATTCAAGTAAGTTATTCAATAAATCAGTGAAGCCATTCAGTAAATCAGTCAAGTCAGCAGGTCAGTCAGTCAAGTAAGTCATTCAGTAAATCAATCACTCAAGCCAGTGAGTTAGTCAGTCAAGTCAGTAAGCCAGTCAGTAATTCAGTCAAGTCATTCAGTAAATCAGGTCAGTAATTCAGTAAATCAGGTCAGCAATTCAGTAAATCAGTCAAGTTAGGTCAATCAAGTCATTCAGAAAATCAATAAATCAAGTCAGTCAGTAAGTCAGTCATCCAGTTTGCGTCACTAAATTTTTTTCCGTTCCGAGAAACCGAACCGTGTAATGGAGAAAACGTTTTATAGGAAACCCTTAACTTTTGATCACTGTCAGTGTGACAGTCATAGTGTTATTACATAGGGTTATTGATCACTGCCAGTGTGACAGTCATTGTGTCATTACATAGGTTTATTGATCACTGCTGGCGTGACAGTCTTAGTACCACTACACTGGGTTATTGATCACTCCTGGCGTGGCAGTCTAAGTACCACTACACTGGGTTATTGATCACTGCTGGCGTGGCAGTCTTAGTACCACTACACTGGGTTATTGATCACTGCTGGCGTGGCAGTCTTAGTACCACTACACTGGGTTATTGATCACTGCTGGCGTGGCAGTCTAAGTACCACTACACTGGGTTATTGATCACTGCTGGCATGGCAGTCTTAGTACCACTACACTGGGTTATTGATCACTGCTGGCGTGGCAGTCTTAGTACCACTACACTGAGTTATTGATCACTGCTGGCGTGGCAGTCTTAGTACCACTACACTGGGTTATTGATCACTGCTGGCGTGGCAGTCTTATTACCACTACACTGGGTTATTGATCACTGCTGGCGTGGCAGTCTAAGTACCACTACACTGGGTTATTGATCAATGCTGGCATGGCAGTCATAGTACCACTACACTGGGTTATTGATCACTGCTGGCGTGGCAGTCTAAGTACCACTACACTGGGTTATTGATCACTGCTGGCGTGGCAGTCTTAGTACCACTACACTGGGTTATTGATCACTGCTGGCGTGGCAGTCTAAGTACCACTACACTGGGTTATTGATCACTGCTGGCATGGCAGTCTTAGTACCACTACACTGGGTTATTGATAATGCTGCGTGGCAGTCTAAGTACCACTACACTGGGTTATTGATCACTGCTGGCATGGCAGTCTTAGTACCACTACACTGGGTTATTGATCACTGCTGGCGTGGCAGTCTTAGTACCACTACACTGGGTTATTGATCACTGCTGGCCCGGCAGTCTTAGTACCACGACATGGGGTTATTGATCACTGTTGGTGTGGCAGTCTTAGTGTCACTACACTGGGTTATTGATCACTGCTGGCGTGGCAGTCTTAGTACCACGGCATGGGGTTATTGATCACTGTTGGTGTGGCATCAGAGTGTCACTACACGGGGTTCTTGATCACTGTTGGTGTGGCAGTCATAGTGTCACTACACGGGGTTATTGATCACTGTTGGTGTGGCAGGCATAGTGTCACTACACGAGGTTATTGATCACTCTTGGTGTGGCAGTCTTGGTGTCACTACACGGGGTTCTTGATCACTCTTGGTGTGACAGTCATAGTGTCACTACACGGGGTTATTGATCACTTTTGGTGTGGCAGGCATAGTGTCACTACACGAGGTTATTGATCACTCTTGGTGTGGCAGTCTTGGTGTCACTACAAGGGTTATTGATCACTGTTGGTGTGGCAGTCATAGAGTCAATACACGGCGTTACTGATCAATGCTGGTGTGGCAGTCTTAGTACCACTACAATGGGTTATTGATCACTGCTGGCGTGGCAGTCTTAGTGTCACTACACGGGGTTATTGATCACTGCCAGTGTGTCAATTATAGTGCCACTAAACGATGTTATTGATCACTGCTGGTGTGGCAGTCATAGTGTCACTATACTGTTTCCTTACCTATACAATAGAT